CTGCCCCTCCCTCTCCTATAACAGCTGTCATCCCCAGGGCCTGTAGGGAGACAGCTGAGGGCCTGGGACTCCATGGCATGGGGGTGGGAGCAGGGCGCCTGGAGGCCAGAAAGCGGGCCAGAGGCTGGTGAAGATCCCTGCCATCTGGAGGGCCAGGAGCTCCTCTCTGGAGCCCACTTTCCGGCCTAGCGGCCTCGGGGCTGACTCTGGGACGCCACTAGCACGGAGCTGGGGGTTTGAGCTGGGGCACTGGTGTGGGGTGGGGTGTCCCAGCACCTCCTGCCCTCTCTGAACCACAGCACCAAGGCTGGCATCCTCCAGCACCCAGGAAAGACAGAGGCCTGCTCAAGGCCTGGCACCAAGGCCAATGGACTCCAGGGCCCGGGTTCTGACCACGCTGCTGCCTGGCGCCCCCCTCCCTGCCTGAGAGCTGGTGCGGAAACCTGCCCCGTGGAGCTCCCCCACCACCAGGCGGCACGAAGGTTCTTTTTTCTGCAGCTGAAGCCACCTGCCTGGGCCGCAAGCCTTGGCCTCACCTGGAGCTTAGCTCCCTTCCGAGCCCAGCCAAGCCCAGGTCCTGCTCCCTCCCCACGCCTGACTCTCCCTGGAAGGCTCTCACCTGGCCCGCCTGACATCCCCCCAGTGCTGGCAGCTGCTCCGCCTGCAGGGTGATAGGGAATCTCTGTTGCCACGGAGGTCAGCTCAGTCCAGCGGGAGGAGGAGCTGTCCCGGGCGGGTGGGCAGGGCCAGTTGGGAGACACAGGTGTCTGGAAGGACCCAGCGGATGAGGCCTGGAGCTAAAGGCCAGACCCTGAGGACACAGTCCTGTCGTGTCTTCTAGAAAAAGTCAGGCCCAGCATGGCAGGTACTAATGGCCAGAGAGGGCAACACTAGGCCGGGGCGGGAGATGGTAGCGGCCAGCCAGCCCACAAAGACAAGGACTATCCAGGACCCCCTTGGGGTCATTTTCTCCATGCCTGACAGGCATCCCCCGGATGCCCCCTCAGAGCACATCCAGGCTGTGCCCACTTCCCAAGGACATTGTCAAGTCACTGTCCACCCTCAGAGCACCTGCTCCTCACCCACGCTGTATCCCAGACTCCCCCGGGTGCGAGGCGGGTGCTGTGCCTGCCTTTTGATGCTGGGAACCTCCTCTCCAGCCTGGTCCTTCACCAGAGGCAGCGCTTAAAGACTATCCACCCCACCCCCTCATTTACACATGGGGAAACTGAGTCCCACAGAACAGACGGGCAGCAGCACCAGGCCTCCCGCTCTCAGGTATGCTCTTCCACTCCCTTTTCTGGCCTCAGGACAGCCTGACACTGGGCAGAATCCAGAAGAAACGGCTCTGTTCTGCTGGGGAGGGGCTCACCCAAGACAGCGACCGGCTCTGCCCAGGGTCCCCTGGAGTCTGGCTCTGGGCACAGGGGGAGGGGCAGACCTGCCTGTTTTTTAACGGCTGAGGGAGGCACGAGAGGACGGGGAACCAGGACCCTGGGGCCACCTCCGCTCAGGACCGTCCCACTCGGCTGCTGGACCGTGCCTCTGCACTGGTCACTGGGTAGGCGGGAGCCATGTGGCATCCCAGGACAGGGAACAGCTGGCTCCAGGTCACCTGAATGCCCTTCTCAACTGACCCTCTCCTCCCAGGTGGGCCAGAAGGGAGAGAGGAGTGACCAGAACCCAGGACCCCGCCCTCATCTGACAGCCACTTAACCCACTTCCCACTGGGGGCTGTTCTTCGGAAGGTCGCCCTGGACACCCCCTACTGTGTGGGGTAACCTTGCCGGGCACCCCACCCTGACCAAGCACTGCCACGCCACACCAGAGGGATGGAACCTTCCTCCCCACGCTGGTGTAGGGGACGGGGCTGAGGGTGTGGAAGGCCCTGCACCGCCCCCAACCTCCCTGCCACTCCCCCCACCTGGGAGGTGCTCAGGACCCCATCTAGCCACGGCCGCTCCCCCCAGCTTCTTACCAGGTGGAGGACAGATGAGGACGGACGCTGCTGCCTGGGCACCTGCTATTTGTTAGAGAAAGCGAGGCCCACCCTGAGGGGCGCCCCTGTTCCCCCAGGTGGTTGGGAGGGCACTCGCGGGTCCTGCGGAAGTTGGATGGCCCTGGGAACGGCGGGTCCTGCAGGGTGCGGGAGCCTGAGGGGGAACTTGGGGGTCTTAGGTTAGACGGGGGTCTCCCCGCGTGGGGAGGGCGCAGCAGACCGTACCTGGTGGCGCATCGGCCGTCGTCGAACTCGAAGGTCCGGTTGGTGTAGCCCCCGCCGCGCGCCTCCCGGTAGACGCCCCCTGGGCTACGCGCCCCGTCGGGGAGCGGCATGCGGCCCGGCAGCTCGGACCCGACCCGAGGGAGAACCGAGTGGGAGCCACCACCTTCTTCCCTCGCTTTGCCCTGAAAAACATTTTTTTTTTTCCTCGCAGATTAGCAAGGAAAAAACGCCAGTCCCAGGGTCGGGTGCGGGCGTCTGTCCGCGCGCGCCCCCTGCCGGCCGCGCCGGGACCCGCGGCGGCTCTGGCCCGGGCTGGGACGGGGGTTGGCGGTAGGGAGGGTGAGGGTCCAGGGACCCGCTCCCACTGCGGCCCTCTGAGCCCTCAAAACTCCGAAGAACAGAACGGGGTTCGTTAATGGCTAGAAAAGCCCAACCGCGCCGCCACCCGGCCCTACATCCCTGGGAAGGCTCCGTGGTAGGCAGCGGCTTGGGGGGCTCTGGGTCCTTTGCAGGCAGCAGGGCACATGCGCTGCTCTGACCGCCAGCATCTGGCCGCCGAGCCCAGGCACCGTCACCACCTCCCTGCTCTGCTGCTCTGCCCTGGTCAACACTGGTCACTCAAGACAAGCCAGATTCAAGATGACTCTCCCCCACTCCCCCAACCCCCCCACCCCCGCAGGCTGCGGCATCTGTCAGTGGGCACCACAACCTGAGCTTGGCCTGGGGGAGGGGGATGAGGGCATCCCGCCCTGTGCTCTCACCCGCACGGCATGCACAGCACCTTTAGACCGGTGAGGAGGGGTCCCAACTTAAGATGCTGCAGCCCAATGACAGGGAAGCAGAGGGTCCCCCTGCAGGCCCCCTTTCCCGTGCACGTGCTCACACTGTTGCACATGAGTCACCCCGGCTCAGATGGCCTCACACAGAGAGCTCTGGAGAACTGCGATTTCTGTCCCCAGACCTTTGTTGGTTTGCAGTGCGGACCAGGCCCCTCACTAAGCCAGGACTGTGCCCACGAGGGGCAGGGGGAGGGCCAGGTCCATTGGGAGGGCGCATGGCATGTACTTCGTGGTCCCTGGCCTCCCCAGTGTCTCTCAGAGTGTCCTTCCCTGTTTCTCTAGGAGGCAGCCAGCTGAACACGGATGCTTTTGGGGTGGGGGTGGGGAACACTCAGGGAGGTCTAGGATGCTCCTAAGCCCCCAACAGAGGTTCAGCCTGTGCCCCCACCACACAGCTTGTGGGCATCTTGGGGGTTTTTCCTCAGGTCCCTAGAGAGGCTGGTGCTGCTGCTGAGGTCCCACCACCCCTGGGCGGGCGCAGCCAGGGCAAGATGGTGGCCTTTCTGCTAACACCCTCCTGCCTGGGGAACGCAGAAAAATGGCCACTGAGAGTGCGCACCGTCTGCATCTGTGATTAATTAGCAGTAATTACACGGGTTGTCAGTGGCAGAAGACTCACAGGTTCGATGACATTCCGAGGGCTTTAGGGAACCAAAAACTTGGCCCCCTCTGCCACTGAGGAGCCCCAGATCGCCAGCCCGTCCAGCCCTCCCTGGCCAGGGGCAGGGCTGGGAGAGGGCCCCGGTCCCTGAGAGCTTTTGCCTTCCTCTCCATGTCTGACCTGCAGCGGTGGCTGGGCCGAGCAGGGATGGAGAAACAACCTTATATTACATAACCTCCCTCTGCTCCAAACACCCTTCGCACATCTTTGGCCCAAAGTTCAGAATGTCAGCCTGAGGCCCAGAGCCACGCCTTCTCCACCGGAGACTGGGGCACCCTGGGCAGACGCCCCCTATGTGGTGGCACCTGCCCGGGCTCCTACTTGCTGCCCCTCTCGGGAAAAGAGCCCCTGCCACCCACCCCACCTCCTCTAGCTACGGACCTCAGCACCAGCCCTGCCACCCACCCCACCTCCTCTAGCTACAGACCTCAGCACAAGCCCAGCCAAGGATGTCCTCCCGACAGTCCAGCCTCACCCCCCACCCTTGTCCCTTCTGCTTCCCTGAGGGCCACCCCCACCTCCGTGAAAGAGGAAGTCTCCACCTCCCCCTTCCCTCTGTCATCCCCCCAAAAGTATTTACCGGGGGACTCAAGCCCAGCGCAGGGCGGCTCCTGGAATTCAGCGAGGAGGTGAAAAGAGACCTGGCGCCAGAGCTTTCTGGGCTTGGATGGGGAGGACCCCGCGACCCCGCAGAAACCTGCTGATAGTATGAGGGGTCGAGCTGGGGCCCCAGGGCACGAAGCGGGGGCGGTGCCTGGACAGGGCCAGGGGAAGGGACAGACGGCTCTGAGGGTGCCCGGCAGAGCTGAGCGGGAGGAAGAGCGCGGACGATGGTGGCCTGGGGGTGGGGACAGGATGCCCCTGGCTCTGGGCGACCCAGCAGGGTGGATGGTGACCCTCTCCTGAGGCGCAGTACCCGCAAGGGCACTAGATTTGGGGGGGAAAGGCAGGCGTGGGCGACTGGGGGACAGGTGGGTACCCTTCCCCGTCCCTGTGTCCCTGGGTCCCCCAGGCCTGGGCTAAACCTCAGCCCAGCTCTCCCACTCCCACCACGGGCTGGGCTCCTAAGGGCAGGGCCCGCCTCTCCAAAGTGCCCAGGGGCAACGAGAGCCCCGGATAAGTAGGAACCAAGACGACCCCCGGGAAGGTAAGGGCGGAGGCAAGGCCACCTGGGCTGGGGCCCTTCCCCTGGCGTACCGAGGGGGCACGGAGTGGGTGGATCCTCCGAGTCCCTTTCCAGCATCTTTGCAGGCACGCGGGTCACATGGGCCCCGGGCTGGATGCGTGGGGAGGGCCAGAGCGCATGCGCTATGGGCGGACTGCGAGTGGGGGTGGAGGCGGGCTGGGTGGAAAGCACGTGGCAGGTGGGCAGAGCACACGTGAGGGGGCGGGGCTGCCTGCGGAAGGGGCCGTGCGCGTGGGGTCGCTCCGCAGCTGCGAGTTCATGGCGTCCCGGTGCTCCGAGCCCGACCCGGAGGTCTCCGGAGTCCCCACTGTCAGGGGATGCAAGTGAGGAATTGGGCTGGGGGCCAGGGGTGTGGGGGCCCAAGCCCTGTACCCAGGGGTGCTTCTGCAAGTTGCCGGGCTCCACTCTTCTTGGCTCTCCTGGGGCAGAACCCTGGACCCTGGGGGAGGGGAAGGGGTGCAGAGAGGGCCGGGTCGTGTCCCTACGTGACCCAGGTCTTGGCCTCCACCCGCATCCCAAAGACCCCCATTCTGGCATCTGGGACTCCTGGTGGTCTTTTCTGGGGTTCTCAGGACCTGGTGTTCCTGGCTTTCTCGGCAGCGGCTCCTCCCTGTCTGGTGCCCTCTCCTGCTGCGAGGACTCGGCCCAGGGCTCGGGCCAGCCCAAGGCCCCTACGGTGGCCGAGGGTCCCAGCTCCTGCCTTCGGCGGAACGTGATCAGCGAGAGGGAGCGCAGGTGAGTGGCGGTGCCTCCCAGAGGTCGGGGCGCTGTAAAGGGGTGGAGCGCGTGAGATTAGGTTTGTGGCTGCCACCAGGTGTCAGGCAGCCGGGAGGGGCTTGTGGCCTGTGCCCAGTGGAAGGACATACTGCACATCTCCAAGTAAACCAGAAAAGCCACCATGGGGGACATCCCGCAGCCCCTCTTTGCCCTGAAGCCTTGATCTCGTGAGGCTGTGCACCTGTGACCCTCTGCACTTCTGACTGCCTCTGACCCTCCCTGTCCTCTCCACACCGCAGAACAGCCATGGTTTGGGCCTGGGCTGGACAGCCTGTGGCCAGGGCCCAGGGGTCAGGCCCAGGCTGTGCTCTGATGTGGATCGTGGGGCTTCAGACCACGGGGACAGCTAGCCCACTCTGCCCCCGGGGGCAGCTCTCAGTTGTCTTGTAACCCCGTCTGCCTGGCAAGCCCCCAGTCTCTCTGGTAGGTTCTAGTGGTTGCTGTCCCTTCTGGGGGAGGCCAGGAGGACCCAGAGATACTCCCAGAGATGTTTGTTTCTTGACCGGAACCAGGAAGCGGATCTCGTTGAGCTGTGAGCGTCTGCGGGCCCTGCTGCCCCAGTTTGATGGCCGGCGAGAGGACATGGCCTCAGTCCTGGAGATGTCTGTGCAGTTTCTGCGGCTTGCCAGCGCCCTGGGGCCCGGCCAGGAGCAGCATGCTGTGAGTTGTAAGGGTAGTCGCCATCCGTCCTCTGGCATCATGGTGATGGGACATCTCACCACTCTGCAGGCAGCGCGTCCCCTGTCATGCCTGTCTCCCTCAGCCTCCTGGTCTCCACCACTAGAGCAGGTCACGTTTTCGGCAGGGCCCTTCCTGATTCGTTCAAGTCTTACCTGTTGTTATTCCTTCCCTAGGAAGGAGCAAGCCTTCTTTTCCAGTCCTCTTGTGCCACTGAGTTCTGTGCATTGATGGGTGACTCAGATGCTCTGTGCCAATTTGGGAGAGAGTTGGGGTCCCCTGATCCTCCCTGGCTGAGCACCCCCTAGATCATTTCTCTGCACGTCCCCAAGAGAGGCTCCTGTCCCCTCTCCAAGGCCCTGGGGGCTCTGGCTGAGTCCGTGAGTGCTGGGGTTGAGGACCTGCTTGGGGAATGAAACAGTGTTGTCATCTGTGAGGTCAGGGGTCCCAGCATTTGCAGTGAGGCCCTAGGTATGCACAGCCTGATTCAGGAATGGTGGGGTCTTTTTGGGGTAGAACCTCAGTCTCATCGTCAGCCTGTACCCTCGCCCCCAAGTCCCAAGCAGGGACCGAGCTCACAGCGATCCTCCAGGCCCCGGGGTAGCAGTCTGGCCACAGTTTCTTGGGTTTCCCAGTTGACTCTCTGTCTTTGTTTTACTTGTTTATTTAAATTTCAGATGCTTGCTTCTTCCAAGGAAATGTGGCACTCGTTGCAGGAGGACGTCTTACAGTTGACGCTGTCGAGTCAGATTCCAGCAGGCGTGCCAGACTCTGGGACGGGAGCGTCTGGCGGGACTCGGTTAGTGTCTGCTGGGGCTGCTCTGCAGGGCCGGGTAACCCTGGGAGCAGCAGACCCAAAGCCCCTGGTGTGTCCTCGGGAGGGTGTGGCCTAGAGGCCCAACTTGGCCTCCACACATGGTGACCTGCCCAGGGCCCTGCTGACTCAGGTGGCCAAGCGTGAGGTGACCAACACAGGCGAGCTCCAGAGGGGAGCACGGTCAGCAGAATTGAGGGCCTGGGCTGGCGTGGAGGTGGGAGGTGCCTGGGAGGAGTCTTTTTTGCGCCTGTGTGTGGGGGATTTGCAGGTGCTCAGTGAGGTGTCGTCCTCCACCCCACGGGCAGCTTCAGGAATGGAGTTTTCTGAAGTCAAGATAATTTGGTTCTTTTCAGAATGGCAGCTTCCCAGGTTAAAGGACTATCTGCATTTTTTATTTAAATGTACCCATTTTACCCCACAGTGGGCTGGGGCATGGGGCTGGTGGCTAATTAGCTGTGGAAGAATCTAGAACCAGGGGAGTTGGGCAGAGGGAAATTGGGCAGGCGGCTGTGGAGCTTGGCTGGCCCAGGGCCCCTGGGCAGAGGCTGGCTTGGTGGTAGGTGGTGCCTGGGGTGTCCTGGGGACGGGTCCAGTTCTCTGCTCCTGAGGTAGGTAGGTGGGGCAGCTCTCTGGGGGGCTGGGGGTAGACCCAGGATCCTCGTCACGTTGCTCCTTTTAGAACTCCAGATGTGAAGGCGTTTCTGGAAAGTCCTTGGTCCCGGGATCCGGCATCGGCCAGCCCAGAGCCCCTGCCCCACGTCCTTGCGTCCTCCAGGCATTGGGACCCTCCGAGCTGCACGTCCCTGGGCACAGACAAGTGTGAGGTGCTGTCGGGGCTGTGCCAGGTGCGGGGTGGGCCACCTCCTTTCTCAGGTGAGTCCTGGGTGTGTGTGTGGGGTGCCCTTGTCCTGGGGAGCCCGGCCAGGCTGTGCTTTAGTCCTAAGAACAGCGGGGGCTGTTTGCAAACAGGAATTCAAAGTTTTCCCAGGCTCTTGGGTTGGTGAGAAACTCACGTGTTGAGGGCTGAGCTCGATTCAAGGCCCCTGGGCTGTGCCTTCTTTTTGTGCGAAGGAGGATGTGTGCTCTGGGGAGGGAGAATCCGGGCCAGAGGCCACCCTGGGGCTGTTCCCTCCATCCTGTCTCCTCCTGGGATCTCCCTGTGCTCCAGGGAAGGGAGGGCCTGACCTCCTCCTCCCTGGGTCCCTGGGTTTGCTGGGAAGCATGGGGATGTAGAGTGACTTGGCCCCATCCTGGTCACTCTCTGGGTCCGTGGGCCTGCGGGAAGTGTAGGGACTTAGAGGGACTTGGTCCTGTCCTGGGTCTCTGGGTCTGTGGGAACTGTGGGGATGCAGTGACTCGGCCCCATCCTGGCTGCTCTGTTCAGCTTTGTGGCCCTGCTTCCTCCACCTGCCTGTGGCTGGTGTGTTTTGGATGCGGCCAGAGATCTATTTTCCCCAGGGTACCCCATATGCTCCTCCGCCTATGCTGCCTGCCCATGGCAGGAACTGTAATTGGGGTGAGCCAGGGACCCGAGGCCTCCCAGCTGTTCCCTCTGCCACCCGGGGCCTTTGTCCCTAATGCCACCCACAGCTGAGCTCTGGTCCCTCTGTGGGTGGCCCTGCAGGGCGTCTCTGTTGACCGAGTTCCCCTCGGCCCCCACTGTGCCAGTGTCTGGAAGTCGCCAGGTGCCATGAGAGGCAGGGCTGTGCCTTTTGGCTCCCCGTGAGTGAGGCTGTGGCCGGGAACAGTCATGCAGTTGGCAGGGCTGGTGGCAGAACTGGGGTCATCAGGGCACTCCAGAAACCCATCAGCCCGGCACGTGGGGAGGGAACAGGTCTGAGGGTAGAGCTTGAGGTCTGGGAGGCAGCGCTGAGAGGGTCCCCAGATCCAAGCCCCTTGCAGCTGGCCAAGCCAGCGCCCACTCTAGGAGGCCCTTGGCCCCCAGGTGTTGGGCATCCCACCTCTGGGTGTTCATCTTCTCCCCGTTTACCCTTCTGCCACCCGCTTCTGAGCTTCCTCTCGCGTCTCCCTGCTGCAGGGTGCAGGCAGCAGCAGGTACTCGGTCAGCGTTAGTGGACCGAACCCTTGAGTTGCGAGGTCCTCGGGGGAAGCCTGTGGGGCCGGGCAGGGAAGTTTGACCCGCATCTGACTTCTCTCCCAGAACCTTCCAGCCTGGTGCCGTGGCCCCCAGGCCCGAGTCTTCCTAAGGCTGTGAGGCCACCCCTGTCCTGGCCTCCGTTCTCGCAGCAGCAGACCTTGCCTATGATGAGTGGGGAGGCCCCTGGCTGGCTGGGCCAGGCTGGGCCCCTGGCCATGGGGGCTGTACCTCTGGGGGAGCCAGCTGAGGAGGCCCCCATGCCCGTGCAGGAGGCCAGGTGAGTGCCCAGGCGGTGTGCACGCCTGTGTGTGCGAGAACGAGCATGTGTGTGTGAGCCTGCCCTACCTTCCAGTCCTGCCTAGGCCCCCTTTCTTGGCATCTGGAAGCTTCTGTCCCTGCTTCCTTTGTTCCTGTGGGAGGGAGGCCAAGGCCACAGCCCAGGACGGGACCAGCCAGCCTTGCCGTGTGGCTTTCTAATGTGTGTTTCTGGAAACACTTTTGTCTTCCTAATTGTCATTTGTTTTGGCTGATAGTAAAATGAGTTTGTGTTTCCTGAGCACATACCAGCTGGGGTGTGGGAGGGGGAGGGGAGGGGGAGGGAGGGGACAAGATGAGCAAGACTGCGGCTGGAGAGAAACCGGCAGAGATGCTCTGCAGGGCGGATCGGGACCTGGGAGAGCCGCTGACCGGTGTCCTCAGCGGCGGTGGCTTCTGCACTTCTCGCCACTGGGCAGGGTGGAGCCCGTCAGGAGTGGTGTCTAGATCTTTGCATTTCAAGCTGCCTTTGCAGGACTTGGGTCCCAAATGTTTCCTTGAGCTTCAAGGCCTGGGTCCACTTGTGGCCACTAAGGAAGGGCTTCTTGCCCTTCCTCAGGTCTGTGTTGGGGTCTGATATGGAGGATGGGACGTCCTTCCTTCTGACTGCCGGTCCCAGCTGGTGGCCAGGTGAGTGGGGCCCTGGGTCGGGGGCTGGTCCCCCTGCCTCGGCACCTGACATGAGCTGGGGAATTGGGACTCAGGCCCAGCGTGTGTGACGCGGGGTCCCAGGGTCTGTGAGCCCCCGTTTTCTCCTCCGTTGGTACTTAGCTATTGGGCAGTGTGTAGCATTGAGTGTCATAGGTGATATGTGAGAGTGTGAGTGAACGTGGTGTGGACGACCCTGCGTGAGAGCTGGCGGTGTGTGGAGCCCTATATTCTTCTTCTCGACCTCGTGTCAGTGAGGCCCCTGGTCTAGCCCGTGCTGGCCGGTAAAGGTGTATGGCCCTGTGATACGGCGTGTGTCCGTTCCATTTAGGATTTAGTGTTGGGGAGCCCCTTCCTGGTTCTGGTCCAACAGGTGTCCTGGGTCTGGGGCCGCCAGGTATGAGCTCACCTACTTCATCACAGCCTCTGTGTAGCAGGGACAGGGCAGGGCAGATGGGCTGAGGTGGGAGCTCTGCTCCTCTGACCCCACCTGTCTGCCTCAGGCTCCCAGAGCACCTGCCTGCCCTGCTGACGTGTCCTGTTTGCTTCCAGGGTCCCTGGAGGGCCGAGGAGGCAGTGGCCCTGCATGGGCTCCAGCTGAGAGCAGTCCACTGGATCAGGGAGAGCCAAGCTTCCTAGGGGACCCTGAGCCTGGCCCCCAGGAGCTCCAGGACAGCCCTCTGGAGCCGTGGAGCCTGGATGTGGACTGTGCAGGCCTGGCCCTGAAAGACGAGGTGGAAAGCATCTTCCCTGACTTCTTCGCCTGCTAGCAGCCGGGCTGTGGAGAGGAGGCAGGCAGGGCCGGTGGATCTGGAGCCGCGTGTGTCCCCGTCGCATGCTTGGGCATTTTATTTTGGGTTTGGGTTGCAGCTGCACCCTAATTTGAGCGAGGCTTACAGGCTGTGACAAGAGGATACTGAATATTAAAGAGAGAAAGCAGTTTTCCTGGAGGAAGCAAAACCCGTGTGGCTTCTGTGTAATTAGTCCGATTCATCGGGCAGATTGCGCCACCTCCATTCAGCGTGCAGGCAGCTGCCGCGGATTTTGTTCTGCAAAGTTCGCAGCACTGTGAAATCCCAGAATAACCCAGTGCTGGTGCCCTGGGGTGGGGGCGCTCTGGGTCCTGCTCCCTGGAGGCAATGTGGCCTCACGGTCTTGCTGCCTAGAGGTTGCTGTGTGAGCTGCTTTTCCTGCTGGGTGCCACTCAGAGCTGCAGGGAGGGGAGTCCTTTCGGAAAGGCCTGCTGTCCTGTTCTGGCCTGGGGGGCTCCAAGGGAAGGGCTGGCTTCCACCTCCACTGCTGGTCACCGCTGCACTCACTGCGTGGGGAATGGGGACCCTGGGCAGAGGTCACCTGGCCTCCATGTCTGGTCCTGTTCCCAGCCCTACACCCTGAGATCTGGAGTGGGGCTGGGTTACTTCGGGGGTGGGGGCAGGTTACTTAGAGGAGGAACCGAGCTCTTTGGATGGTGCTTAGGTGCCCGCCTGTTTTTCAGCCACAGCACAGGTGGTGCTGGTCTCTGACCCCGGATGCTCGAGCTCACCCTGCTCTTCCCATCTGGAGACACTGGCTCCAGTTCCCATGTGATCCCCCGCTGGCCAGGGCAGTGTTCCAGGGACCAGCGCAGTCTCTGTCCCCCAGGTAGAGGAAACAGGTTTGAGCGTGGGCTCAAAGCCCCACCAGGCTGCAGCCCTGTGCCTGCATGCAGCCGCCCCCGCAGCCAGCCGGAATGTTCCATTCATTCCTCTGAGTCATTCAGACAAAGGCTGAGGAGCGCCTGCCGTGGGCAGGAGACTAGGAGGCTCCAGGGAGTAAGTGCCGTGCAAACACCAGGCTGTGGGTGGCGGGCAGACCCCAGAGGAGAAGGGGGTGCGGAGCTTGGGTGAGGGGCCCAAGGCCATCAGGACCGGCTCTGAGCACCCACCATGGTCCCGTGGAAGGAGGTCCAGGTCCAGCTGGATGCCTGAGACGTGGCTGGCGGCTGCAGAGCCGCATCCTCGGGACGCTGTGGCACCGGGCACTGACGGCCCGTGTTGCTGAGACCCCGGGGCAGAGGTGGAGGAGTCTTCAGACCTCTGGTGGACAGAGTGGTGGTCGGGGCCCAGCCGGGAGCACGAGGCTGCTCTCCCGTGTCCTGCTCATTAGGGGTTAACTCAGGCTGCCAGATACCAAGAGTGTCTCCTAGAAGACTAGTGTGTTCACTGCTGCACGGCTGTAAAGCAGTACCTGAGACTGGGTGATTGAGGAAGAAAAGAGATTTAGTTGGCTCACGGTTCTGCAGGCTGTACGGGAAGCATACTGCCTTCTGCTCCTGGGGAGGCCTCAGGAAACTTCCAATCATGGCAGAAGGCAAAGTGGGAGCAAGCATATCACATAGAAAGAGTGGAAGCGGCCGGGCATGGTGGCTCACGCCTGTAATCCCAGCACTTTGGGAGGCTGAGATGGGCGGATCACGAGGTCAGGAGATTGAGACCATCCTGGCTAACACGGTGAAACCCCATCTCTGCTAAAACTACAAAAAAAAAAAAATTAGCCGGGCATGGTGGCGGGCACCTGTAGTTCCGGCTACATGGGAGGCTGAGGCAGGAGAATGGCGTGAACCCGGGGAGGTGGAGCTTGCAGTGAGCCGAGATCGCGCCACTGCACTCCAGCCTGGGTGACGAAGCGAGACTCCGTCTCAAAAAAAAAAAAAAAAAAAAAAAAAGGGAGAGAGGAGGGAGGTCCCAGACTCTTCAACAACCAGATCTCACGTGAACTGACTGAGGACTCGCTCATTACCAAGGGGCTGGCACTAAGCTATTCGTGAGGGACCTGCCGCCATGATCCAGTCATCTCGCACCAGGCCCCACCTCCAACACTGGGGATCACATTTCGACATGAGACTTGGAGGAGACATCCAGACTGTATTACCGTGTGTGCATGTGTGTGCACACGTGTGTCCATGGGTATGCACAGCTTTGTGCTAGTACTCGGGTGTTTGTGCGCCCATGTGTTGCTGTGCATCTGTGTGTGTCCCATGTGTTGGTGTGTGTCCACGTTTGCACTGTTGCCGTGCGTGCATGTTTGTGTGCTGTATTGCTGTGTGCGTGTTTCTGTTCCCATGTGTTGGTATGCATGTGTTTGCACTGTGCAAACTGCATTGGTGTGTGTGCACGGGTGCTTGTGCTAGGTGTTGGTGTGTGCATGTTTGTGTGCAGTGTGCACTTAGTGTGCATGTATGTGTACAGTGTTGGTGTCTGCATGTGTGTGTACTGTGGTGTGCATGTATGTTATGTCTGCACTGTGGTGTGCATGCGTGTTTGTGCACTGTTGGCCTGTGTGCATTGTGTGTGTGTGCTGTGTTGGTGTGTATGCATGTATTTGTGCTCTCGTGTGTACATATGTGTGCACTGGTGTGTGCATGTGTGCACTGTTGGCAGTATGCGTGTGTGCACTGATGCATGTGCATGTATGTGCACTGTGTTGGTGTGTATGCATGCGTTTGTGCTCCCATGTGTGTGGGTGTGCGTGCATCTTGTGACTACTGGTGTGCATGCCTGTGTTTGCACTGTGTGCATGTATCTGCTGTGTTTGGTATGTGCACATGTGCATGTGTTTCTACACCCATATGTGTTGGCGTGCATGCCTGTGTGTGCACTTTGTTGGTGTGTGTGCATGTGTAAATTGTGTGTGGGTGTGCATGTGTGTGTGCAGCCACGTGTGCTGGTGTGCATGTGCATCTCAAGTACAGGCCGGTGCCCTCTCAGGAGGGTGGGATATTGCTGACCTCCGAGGTCCTGCTCAACAGCCCCGTGCGTGCTCCCGTCCACCGCATGCCCATTGCCTCTAGGAGTTGAGGGTGGAGACAATGAGCTTGTGCCCTGATTGTGCCCTGAGCCTAGCAGGGAGGTGACTGAGCGTGCTCAGTGACTGAGGATGAGCTGCCCTGGGGCTGAGGCCAGCAGCTGGCGCTGCTGCTGTGAGCTTCTGGTCTATGAGGCAGGAGGGGCCTCAGGGCAAAAGCAGCACTGGCTTCTTGGAGCAGATGGACAGGCCTCGCCTTGCCAGCCCTGCCAGGCTCCCCTCCACATTGGGGCTTCAAAGTCAGAGGCCTCACTGCAGACAGGTGCTGGCAGGCAAGGGACAGGGCCCCATCTCAGGGCAGACAAGCCTCACCCATGTTCAGAATGACCCTGAGGCCCAGCCTGGCTTGTGAGGTGAGAACAGCGATTGATTAGCAATGCCTGTCCCAAGAGTGGGAGAAGGAGCTTGGAGCTGCAGGGGTCCACCCTGCCTCATCTTCTGCTGTCCTGTGGTCTCTCCCTCATGTCATGGGGCTGTGGACAGTCCATTTCTTTTGGTCTTTTTGCTGCATCCTGGGACGGTTGGAGGCTTCCGGCACTCCCCTAGGCTGGCTGTGCCAGGGTCTGGCCCCTTTCCTTCGGGCTGTGATGGTGGCAGCCCAGGGGACCTGGAGGGGGTGTCTGGGATGTCACTGGAAGCCATCTCCTCTCCCCAGGTGGGCACTGGACACGGCCTGCCAGGGCCTGGTGGGAGCCTGGCCATGGTTGCTCCTGGGGTAAAAGTAGCGGGTGGGAGTTGGAGGGAGCCATTCCCTGAGCAGGTCTCTCTCCCCACCCCCATCTTCCCATACTTCCTGGCTCCTGGGGCTTCCTCTCTGGACCAAATTACCACTCTCATTGGCTGTGACTGCGAGGCAGCCCCGGTTCAGAGGTGTGCTGGAAAACTCCCTTGGAGTTCTCGCTGGCGAGGGTGGGCTTATTTGCAGGAGTCAGGTGGGGGGTCTGCAGCTTCACCACCTCTCCTTGCGTCTGCCCCCACCAGGGTATCCTTTTACCTGGGAGGAGGACAGCTGGCATCTCCCTCTTGGCCCCGACCCCAGGTGCCCCACGAATGAGTAGAGATGGGCACCCCGTTTTCTCTCCCACCAGCAGCCAGGCCTCCCTGTTTCCCTGAGAACCTGCCCTCTCCACACAGTCAGCCCCCACCCTGCCCAGCCTCCCCTAAGCTGTTCTGATCACTGCTCCTCAAGTGTCCTGTGTCTGTGTTTGGGATGGATCTCAAGGCCCCGATGACAGCCCAGTGGCCACCAAGATGCAGATGCCTTTTGGCAAAGACAGTGAACTTTGGACCTTGAGGTCTGCCCTGGTCAGGCCCCCAGGTGCCTTTCTGAGGAACGGGAGCTAGGGGCCTGGGGCTTCCACCGGGTCAAACACAGCCAGGCCAGGCTCCTCTGTGCAGGCAAGACCTTTCCCAGCCACCGCTGTTCCAGGGCCACCCTCCCTGTGTTCCCACGGAGGCACATCTTGTGGCTGCTGCCCCCAAAGACACAAGGCCCCGAGCTTCACAGAGACGTGAATGGGGCCTGTGCTTGTGTGCACTGTGGGCCTGGCTGGGTGTGAGGCCGGGGAGGGGCTCTTCAAAAGGATCACGAGCGGCACAGCACACACTGAGGAAGAGGTCTCGGCTCCTGGAGCCTTGGCACCGCTGCGGGGGGCTGGGAGAGGCCCGTCCACCAAGGGTCCTCTGTCCCTACTCCTCCTAGAGCACAGCTGTGCAGGGCTGTCTGCAGCCCGGGGCCCAGGCACTCCCCCTGCAGTGACCGGGTGCCCCAGAGCTGCCCTTTTCAGTTCCGGGGAGCCAGCCAAGGAGCGCCAAGGCCACCCGGGAGCAGAGCTGCCCATCACAGGTAGAGGAAATCAGGTTTTCCATGTACAAATCCCTCGGGGACCCTCCAGGGCTCCTGGTAACTGGGCCCACTGAGCAGCTCCAACTCACACCCCTTCACCACCCTGTTGACCTTCTCCCCCAAAAATCCCCCCATGCTGGCCCACCCCGGGTCACCCCAGCCCTGGTTACCCCACCCCCAGCTCACCCTACACCTGGTCACCACAGCCCCCGGCTCACCCCACCCGCGGTCACCACAGCCCCAGGTCACCCCATTCTGCACTTGGTGTTACCTCAGCCCAGAGGCTTCCTGGGGGACATGTCCCCAGCACCACAGGCTGGAGTCTGACCCTCCAGGAGTGTTTCTGAGGAAGAGGGGGGTTCAGGTGGGAGTCGGCGGGGGAGGGTCTGCCTCCTATGAACCACTGGCCACTTCAC